AAACCAAATGCAGGGAGTAGATGGTTCATTCTTCATAGTTAGCTTTCTTAGATGAAGATAACTTACTTCGAGTTAACTTAATTACCTTAGTTATGCGTGAAGATTAGAGAGGAAGGATCGGAAGCACTGCAACCACTTCTAAGATATGATTTCCGGGTTGGTTGTCACGCCGTCAATTTACAACTCTTGACGTTTCAAGAGACATATCGCTCTCTTCTTCAGAAGTTACTCTGAAACTGACTGATTGACTCAATTTTAGAGTAACTTCTGAAGAGAGCGATATGTCTCTCGAAAAGTCAAGAGTTGTAAATCGGCAACGTGGCAACCAGCCCGGAAATCATACAGCCATTAATGACAACCATGGAAGCTTACAAACAAAACCACTTTTAAGGTATTCGCATGTTTTTGCCAATAAAAATGAGAAGAAGGTATCCTTCAGACATTTTAACCTCGCTAACCCTGACACTCAGGTTTCAAAAGGGCTCAGGGGTGGGTATCTGTGGTGTAAGACCGAAGGTGAACTTATTTTAACCTCTGGAGAAGTATGCCATACTCTTAAAGCATTTGCCTCTATGGGTGAACATGAAAATGTGTTTTCCCTGATGGGATGGGAAAATCATGTTACGATGAACTGAGTCCCTGTTTTCAGCAATGTGTCTGGCAATTAAATAGCGCGGCCAGACAAGGCTCAAAGAGATGGGGCCAGAATCTGTATTCAGGCTACCACAATATTATGTAATAAGCTCCATTGACACTTGCGATAAAAAAAAACGATCAACAGAAATGTATTTAAATTTATAAAGGGCCCATGGGCTGAAGTAATTCAGGAAGTTAAGTTCTAAGTGGAATCAATATTAGGATCGTCACAGGATTTTTAGAAGTCATGAGTGTCTACACAATTGAGCACAAATGCCTGCAGATTGTAAGGACACAATGATGATGATTCCATACATATCCTCTGTCACTGTGCTTACCTGACGGTGAAAAGACACACCCAGTATTTCAGTCACCTTAGGACATTAAGGTGATTCTTACAGTCAACAATGGGTCAGAAGACCTGAATGCCGCAGGCTTTAAAACAGTAAAATCTCTCCATAGCTATACTGTTTAAAATGTATTTTTGACACATTAACATTGCCTTTATCATTTTTAAGATTGTTTAATACTTAATATGTTCTCAAAACATCATTCAACAAATATATATACTGTGTGTCTTGTGAAAAAACGTCGCAACTCGGCAATTTTTAGCCCCATTACAGAGAAACGAGTTATGAAATCAATAAAAAAATCATGTTTATGCAATGCATAAGGTTTTTTGTTGATATATTAAATTTCATATACAGGGTGTTACAGAATAACGTTTTAAAAATTCTAGAGATTAGTTGAAATTCAAAACATTTTGCAATAAGGATGTTTTTCTCAAATATACCAAGAGGCCCTTGAAAATTGAAAAGGAAGAGGAATCGTGTCAGCTGATACACATCAGGCAGGTGCAAGAAGGACACGAACTCCCAAATTTGAAAAGAGCGTTATGGAACATGTAGCTGCCAATCCAAGAACAAACACACGTGAAATTGTCCACATGTGCATTACGTAGATCACGCGAGTCTTTGGCAGACTTTGCACTGTGAGCAACTACATCCACTCCATGATCAACAAGTTCAAGTATTGGACAGCCTGATTTTGAACTAACCTACAAACTACAGTATTCTGGTGTTTTATTTAACCTGCCGAATATGCAGAAAGTGCATAGAGCTATAGAAAATTTTATTTATCATTTCTGGCCTTATTGCAAAATGTTCTGAATTTTATCCTCTACAATCTGCCAAATTTTTAAAACATCATTCTGTAACACCTTGTAGAAATTTAAACTTGGCACATCAAGTACTGTCACGTTATGTGATATAATGCATTTCTTATCTTAAATAAAATTTACATTAAATGATTGATTTATAATTTGATTGATTTGGCATATTTAATAATTATTTTGTTGGAGCACTCAAATGAATATCTTGGATAAAAAATCGCAGAGTTATAGCCTGCAAAGTTTTTTCACATGATATACATATACACATTTTCAATTTTGGATCCACTGAGAATTTTCTGTGGGTGCCCATATTATATTTTTATATGGATTTTATTTTACTGTGTTCCTTGGAAGTTTAATTAAAATGAGTATTGAAAAAAATTAGATCAAACAGAGAACATAACCAGTTATGTACTTCAAATCCAAAAATAATTAAAGGTCTGTTCTCTTTAGATGGGCAAGGTATGAGACGGGCAACAGATTAGCATATAAAACGCTTTCTAGAATATTATTCACACACACACATGATCCTTCAACGGGCAACTATTGTTCTATTGATGGAAATAACAAATATATTCGTAAAAAATATATACATACATACTTATACAGAGACATACTTCAACCTAAAACATGTTTTCAACGTCTTCATTAATTAAAATTATTTTGATTTAGATGTAAAGAAGCATTGGTTAATAGAAGCATAAAGTATTTCCTGTGCAAAAAATCATACAATGGGCAACTTGCACTAACACATATATTTTTAAATATCTTGAAATAATCTATAACCTCATATAATCTTTTAATCAAACTATTACAACTTAGAGGTTGTTAATTAATAATTAATTAAAGTGCAAAATAAATGTTGCCGCGCTGATACGTGACGTCATTTAGTGCAATCGATAACTGAGAAGATAAATGACAGGGACACGAGTATAAGTAACAAGGGTCTAGAAGGAGCCATATTCACTTTGTGGCTCGCCACATTGGCATTTCTTTATATTAAGTTTCGTCTTGTCGGCATATTAATCGTAGATGGAAAAAGGCTGAGAACCAGATTATGTTCACGGTTGCACTAAATGACATCACAATATGTCAAGTGGCAAAATTTAAATTTTATATAATTTTAAACATCTATTATTAATTTGTTTACCACTATTAGTTGTTGTCAGTTCTAAAATTTATGCAGTTCTAAAAGAAATGAAATTTTCATACAAGTTGCCTATTCAGCATTAATGAACACACAATACATTCAAATAAACTCTCATCAACTTCATGTGTAAATATCTTGTTGCCTGCTCTTCGCAAATCTGGGGCGACATTCGCACTATAGCTGTCTGTTTGATCTCAGAAAGTTTTGGGAAGGATCGAATGGGAAAATATTGTTCTAAATTAATGTTCGACTTCCTGCTGTTGTCTTGTATGTTTTATGGACAGATATGAATTAGTTATCGGAAAATCAGTGCAGGCAGATCATAATGAATTTTGGCTGAACTATGTCTTACCGATACCTTTCCCTTTGATGAAAATAGGCCTTATATGTACAGTGCAACTCATTTTTGATGTCATGCTTGTGTATCTCCATTACTAAGAAAGATGGGTTTTTCACAATTGCTAGCCATTTGATTTGAGAGGAATCAAGTCACATTAGATTTTCGATATATCTTTTGGATTTTGGATTATTGCCAAAAAATAAAAATTTCCATAATTTGGCAGGGGAAGAGGGCCAAAAAAAGTTGTGTATATTACTTTTATTTCATACTGTCCGGTATATTGCTATTTCCCGGATTCATTTTGCGTAAGTGAGCTATTACAGTATCAGTGCCGGTAAATTCATTTGCGGCCGGTAAGTGAGCTATTACAGTATCAGAGCCGGTAAATGTTGCCTAGCAATGTGATATTAGACATGTCACAAACAATATTATAAAATGACAGATCAAGCGATGTCAAACAAAAATTTGATAATTTTAAGGAAAAAATATAAATTTCTGCTCGTTAAAAATAGAGACAGTATGAAATAAAATATACGATACACGGCCGTTAGGTGTTATTACAGTACTCGTTTTTATTCCGGACTCGGCTCCTACGTCGCCTCGTCCGTAAAACAACTCGTAATGTAATAAGTCACCTACCGGACTTGTAACGTAAAATACTATTGTATGTTGCAGTGTAAAAATTTATCAATAATTTACATGAACAATACACATATGTCAGTGCATTGTCTCACACTAATCCCTAGTTTTTATGTAATGTATGATTTACTCGAGGACCTTAGAACTAGATGGAGATTATGTATTCTGATATTTTAAATTCATCATTGCAATCCTGGGTAACGGCACTCATGCACTCTATTTTTCAGGGTTTTTTTTAATAGATTCCAGTGGGGTACTTCTTAATTTTTAAATAACTCCAACAGTTTTTGACTTAGAGGTCTAAGTTATACATGCAAACCACAGTCGGCCATGGACTACTTAAAAAGAGGATATTCCAAAAATATATCAGTTTGTCATATTTATCTCAAAATGTAAAAAAAACAGTTGTAGCTATTTGTGATTTTATAAATGAAAAAAAAAGAAGCTGTCCATGATTAAAAACAAATGTGCTACTAAACAACTGGTGCCAATGTTGTATGTTGTAATTTTTTATTTTCTGAGATAAGTATGACAAAATAGACATTACATCGAAAATGGGATGCACTGTTCACGAATAAAAATCAAGGTGTAGACCATTTTACAAACAATTCACAATTTTTTCTATATACAGTAGAACCTTATCCAGTATGTGGATTATCTGTGGTAGAAGTGGAAGTGTTAAGTATGGAGATGTAACCACAGTGGGGGTTCGTGGCATTGAGAATAGGTGAAGCATATTCATTGATTGACTAAAAAGAAAAAAAAAGTGTAGCTTGCGCTGGCGAAAATTTTCAAATTTTCTAGGTCAAACGGCTTTAAATGAAACTGGAAATTTTTAGTTGCATTTGCAATATTACCGAAAAACTGACGTTTGTGAGAAGGATTTTCATTTAGATTTTATAAAAAATAGAAATATTAGTTCGTCTTGTGGACTTCTGCAAACATTAACGCACACCGTACATGTATGTTCCAAAGAAGCTTTGTGGTTATGACAGCCTTGCGTGACCCAAAATTGTTAAATCCCTTCTTATTCCACACGCCTGACTTTACACCCACAAGTAAACACGGCATACAGATAAGTTTTTTTTAAATGAACACTTCCAACCACTTATACTCCAAATACCAATCATTCTGAAACTTTCGAATGTACACGTTATCTTTTGACTTCCCTTTTTTTCCATATCGAGAGAATAAGGCACAGATCTCTCGCAATTTAAAAAATTAACTATTAGTGGTAAACGCGGTCTTGAATATTTAACACATCAACTGACACGCATGAGAAACGAACAAAAATATGATTACGAGATGAGTTATAATTGTTATAACAAAAATAATTGACGTTTCTCCAAATCCACAAATTACAGATTTACAAATCGGATATATTGCTAACACCATGTTTATAACAAATCTACTGATAAATTATCAAACAATAGTAAGAATTAAAAATCCAGGAATGCTAGAGGAAGCTCTAAACTTTGTATTAGAGTACTGGAGGAAAAAGAATATCAAATTTTGCAATAAAATGAAGCACAAATAGTAAATAACAAACCGATAGTACCAGTTGATAAACAAATTAATCGTTATTTTACTCAAGGCCCAAGATTTCAAAATTTTTATAAAAACATGACGCCTCAACTTAATGGTAATACACGAATCTATTTCCATCCAACCCCGACAAATTAGAGAACACTTTCCTACAAACAGACAGACTTTAGGTTCACCTAATGGACAAACTGTACGGAAAACATTGAATATCATATGCTAATCAACAAAGATCAGTACCAATGTAAACCTCTTAGAGCCTATAACCATTTATGAAGATAATAATGGTTGTATATCTATTGCTAACAATCCAACATGTCATAAGCGTTCAAAACACATTGATATTAAATATCATTTTGCTAGAGAGTAGATTGAACAAAAGAAAGTAAAACTTGTTTATGTTCCTACAGGTCAGCAATTGGCAGATACCTTTACAAAACAACAAAGTTCCTTGAATTTCGAACTCAAATGGGCTTGGAACAAGTTTTGGAGTCCCTGGTCTGATTGGGTTTTTGAGGGGGTTTTCCCCAATCCATGCAACAAATGTTGGACCAGAACTTAGGCACCTCTCCCCCGAGTTCCACGTACATATTTTACGTTCACGTGTGGACAAGAACACTTACGACAGTGTCGACCAATTTTTTTTGAGTGGGCGTATTGGATAAACGCAAAATAAAATAAGTCGAACACTCTGTATATTAAGCTCGTGTTAATGGTGTTTATAGTCCTAAGTTAAACTTACTCCAGCGAAGCCGACGCTGTGGCTAAATACGCTGATCAGCAGAAATGCTTATATAAAAACCAAAGTATCTTTTCCTATTAAGTATTAGTCTGTATGCAGTCTACTTACGAGTGACGCTATAAAAGCTATATAAAAATCTCATTAAAAACTATTTACTCAGTTTATATTTTATTATTTTCTTCCCCATAACTCAACAAGTAAGATATCAAACCTTAACCTGTAAAAATAATACACTTTATAACCAAACCAAATTACTTAGTGTACATTGTTTGTGTTATTAGAAAATAAAAGTGACTTTCTCCGTCGGAAAATCTAATTGATAATAAAACTCACTGGATGATAAAGAATGTCGGAAAACAAAGGTGATGGGAGTGACAAGGAAGAACTCGGAGATGGCGATTCGAACGTTGCCAAAATGAGTTTACGTTTTACTCCCCTTAAATCATGTTAAGTAAGTAAAAATTTTCAGCAACATGTGAACTTTACCAAAAAAAATTACAATGAACAGAATAAGGCGACAAGGGTTTAAGAGACAGCCAACACAGAAACAACATTCACAACCTGAACCTCAAAGGTCAACTGAAGATGTAGGCATGGGCCAACGTGTTGCAAAGCTTGGGGGGAAGTGCGGATGATGTGGAGAGAGTGGAGAGAGGACCAACAATACAGATTGACTTGCCCAATGGGTTAAGACGATCCTTTTTTATAGAGAATATTTCTTATTTACTATTTTTTATATAACCTGTTTTCTGGTAATTTTAGCAAGTGACACTTGATTATTGTTTTTTTTTTGAGACAATCACCCTTATCCTGTGAAAGTCCGGTTCCATGAGGCACGGACCAAAGTTCTACTGTATTTTTTAAATGCTTGTATATTTGTTACCTAGTCTACACCCCAAAAGAAATGATCATATAAATTCAAACATAACGTAAATTTAACGTAAACGAAATTATTTATAAAATATTTGGATAAAGTAACTTCATCAAAATAATGCTAAAAAAATATGGGACTGTATAACCCCTTCATTAAGTATTGGAAGATACATAGACTAAGGATCCACTTAAGCAGATATTGGCTATTACACATTTTTGTGTATTAAACAGAAATATGATTGCATTTACTTAACTACATATTTCGAGATTTTCTCTAACATTGTAAATATTAATGAAGAGCTTTTACATATCTTCTTTAAGGGACGATATCAGAAAATAAAAGTTATTCCACTTTCGTGTGACTAGAAATATTACATTGGAAGCTTATAAGTACCTCAAACTAAGTCAATATCACCTGGTTACAAACCATAACATATCAATTATGACCGGCTCTCTTACCATTCATATATCCTATCCACCTCTCTGCGGTTTGCTTAAATAAAGGTTCGTTCTCTATAGTACATAACAACAGCAGCTGATTGATATGTGTAGCATGGTAGTCCCACCTGGCCAAATTTGGGGCTATGTGTATAGTAAAATGTCGCAAATCATATGAAGTTACACTCCCCATATCAAACAACATTAACATGTTTTTTAATGAGTTCATTCCTTCGTTGTACAGGAACTCAGCTTCTTGCGCTTGACCAGGCGGAGCGATAACCATTAAGTCGTATAGGCCGAGGAGAGAGTATATAAAGCCATTTAAAACAAAGGATGCTGGTTCTGTCGGATACTCCTCATACCAATGATATCTGTTGAGAAAAGTAGCCAACACGCCGCCTTCTGCACTTGAAACTTTAAATGGTTTTAACCCATTTAATGCCGCCGTTAAGTACTGTGTATTACCTCCAGAATGATAATAGGCTCTAGAAAGTACAGACAATGCATGGCCTTGGCCCATTGATGAGTACCATCCTAAAAGTACATATAGATAGTGTATTTACATGAAGATTAATACGATATAGATGTAACTTGGGGTATCGACTTAACTATACAGGGTGTTTGGTAAGTCGATGCATTCCTTGCAGGAGGTTATAGTACAAGTGATTTGTGATATATTTCTTTAATATGCCATATTCCGAAAGTGCTTAGTTTCCGATCTACAGGGTGTTAAATTTTTAATAAAAAGATGCAAATTTATAAATATTGCGGAAACCGCCAGAATATTTTAATGAAATTTTACAAGCTTTGACAGTTAACAACAATACATGTTTTACAATAATAATATTGTTTTCAGTTTCATCAGTGGCGTGCGCATAGCCATGTCTTTGGATATTTTTAAAGAAAAAAATGATACGCCACTGATTTTTCTTAAAATAAAAATTATTTTTCAATTCCTTGTTCAATTTGGACGAGAAAAGGTATCAAGACTGTTTTTCTTGTGACGCACCGTTTTCGAGTAAAAAAATTAAACTCAATTTATTGCATAGCAGAAATTATGAATTCTTTTTTTTTATATACCAATTTTATTAATATATCGGCGTCGCTTTCCAAACAGGCGACTTCCAAATATCCGTGTCTTTGCAAACACCTATTGAATGGTCAGTGAATCAGGAACTGTACACCACAGGCAAATTCACGTAGGAGCTCCTGCACGTTACGGCCTTAATGACGAAGGGCTTTTTAGGAAGATCCGACGGGGAGCGTACGCGACAATGCTAGGCGTCTTAGGGTGTCGCAGTGGAAAATTTGTGCGACACTGAACAAAGAGGAATAACATCCATATCATTATACATCGGTTCAAGACTTGCTTGAAGAGGATCCTTTAAGGAGAATGAACTTCCCCAGATTTATGTTAAACGCCGATATGAAGATGCAACTTTTCTAAGAAGAATGTTGTGGACCGATGAATCCAATTTTAATCGAGAAGGGATTGACAACTACCATAATGCTCATTACTGGGCCGAGGAACATCCACGTCTAACGTCAAACCGTAATTACCAAACACGGTTCAATATTAATGTTTGATGTGGTGTAATAATAATAAACGACCAGTTAATCAGGCCACATTTTCTGCCCCAGATATTTTAAATGGAGAAAGATACAAAGACTTCCTTATTAATCACCTGCCACTACTACTGGAAAATGTGCTGCTGAATATTCGCCAGAACATGATATTCCAGCATGATGGACGTCCTGCACAATATTGGTAAACTGTAAGGGAGTACCTTGATCAGCATTTTCCAAATCGGTGGATCAGAAGAAGAGGCCCCATACAATGGTCTGGTAGGAGCCCAGATCTAACTCCGTTAGACTTTCATGTAGGATAGGATGAAAGAGTTGGTTTATGCGCGAGCAGTACGTACGAGGGAGGAATTAATACAGCGCATTACCGATGCCATTATTACACTTGGTCAGACGTTTTCGACCAGGGTAACCCGGACAGAAATAAGAAAGCGGGCACGTGCGTGCGTTAGAAGAACGGGACTTCATTTTGAGCAAGATCTTAAGTAATTACTAATTAGAATAATTAATAATAATTATTATATTAGTAATTTTTTTCATTTTTTAATGAGCTTTGTACTCATTTAATACTGATGATTAGTTAAACGAATTTTAAATTACAGATAACTTAATCTAATCTCTAATTAAATGGAGAAGCTTTTAGACTGATGTGAACTGCGGGTAGTAATAAGGTGTTGTAATAAAATTGGTACAAAAAAAAACTAAGTGCATAATTTCTGCTATTTTTCAAATTATTGAAACCAGATTATGCCAGGCAATAAATCGATTTTTAATTTTTTTACTCGAAAACGGTGTGTCATAAGAAAAACAGTAGATTCCTATTCTCTTCCAAATTGAACAAGGAATTTAAAAATAATTTTTACTTTAAGAAAAATTAGTGGCGTATAATTTTTTTCTTAAAAAATATTTCACCACTGGTGAAACTAAAAACAATATTTTTATCATAAAACATGTATAACTGTCAAAGCCTGTAAAATTTCATTAAAATATTAGGAGCGGTTTCCGCAATATTTATAAATTTGTATTTTTTTATTTAAATTGTAACATCCTGTAGATCAGAAACTAAGCGTTTTCGGAATATGGTATATTAAGGAAATATATCACAAATTGCTTGTACTATAACCTCCTGCAAGGAATGTATCGACTTACTAAACACCCTGTATATAGATCACTCACTTATTTGTATAGAATTATATTAACCAGTGGCAGAGATACTGGTGACCTCCACACTAAGAATCACAGAATTTCGATGCGGCTGAATATTTTAGAACTCCTATAAGTTCATGTGATTCACAATTGTATATCAATAAAAAAAAATAAAACATTTCTAACATTTTATTAAAAAATCAAGTCATTTTCGAGTTGTTCTAGAAAGTTTGGAGTTTCAGTATACGTATAAGGCGAATTTCAGTATGCTTATGTTAATATAATTTTAATAAATAAGAAAAAGTCAAAAGAAAACAAATAAGAACTGAAAATTTGAAGTGAATTATTTAGTGAAAATAATGATACAAAATCCCCGATGGAATACCGATAAAAGGAAAAAAAATAACTTAAATAAATGGAAGATATTTTTTCTTTGAACAACTGTGAATCAAGAGAACTCATATTTCTAAAGATCAAAGGAAGCCTCTGTAAAAATATGACCCCTACTCAAAGTTACACTATGTATAAATAAATTGACTAAATAGAAAAATTATACTATTTGGATTATTTCCAATATTGATTTTGTTTCTGTATTAGTAATTTATCATTTAGTAAAAATTAATTAATACTTTTAGAATTTAGTCAAAAGTTCTGTATATTTTCCAATATCCGTTGTATTGTCCGAATTGAATATTTCAAACATGTGCAGAGTTAGAAGGTTACAGAATTATTTAGAAGGTTTACAGTTTATAAAGCTCGTTAAACACTGTACCAAAAAGTTTTTGTAAAAAACATTCACAATAATTGTATAGTTAGCTAGCCAAGTTGTATGTGTATTATGAAGCAGAGCACTGTCAAAAAAAAAACAAGAAACAATTTCTATAAGCAACCTTGTAACGATCATTGTAAAAATTGGAAACAATTGCCCTTATTTGATGGCTTTGCCTAATATTAACAACTGTTAAATTTACCTGGTTGTAAGTCATGAAATCCAGATGCTAATTTTCGTTTTACGGGGATTGCCCAACCACCAGTCTCCTTATCCTGATGCCGAACAAACCACTCTGCAGCATCATAAAATTGTTGGATATGTTCTGATGTTGACAATGTGAAATTATCAATGGCCCCTGCACCCCTGAGGGTAATGTTAATTATCTTTAACTTAGATCTAGGAATTTTGTGCTTAGATTTGTCTTTATCGAGGTAGCTTAAACCCTTTTGTAAGTCTATTGTAAGATCTCTCGTAATTTTTTTCCAATCCTGGGTGATTCCAATGCCATGATAAATATTGTTATCCTGAAAAGAATATAATATCTGATGATAAAGTTTATGAACTCATCTTAGTAATAGCGCAATATATGTATAAGTTATTGTTGATTAGCACTGTGATCACCTTCAAAGTACTTCTTTTAGGAAGGTATGTACTGACGTGTTTTGTGTGTCTTAAACAAAAAAATTCATAGGTATGTCGAAATTAAGTGCTAACAAACAATTGTTTGTTCACCATATCAGGAGGTTTCTATGGGAATTCCTAGACTTAAAATATGACGGCTGTAAAATTATTTGTTTAGTGTGTAAGAAAGACTTGCTGTGTTGGAACAGACAATTATACAGAAAACATATAAACAGTGAAAGCCACAAATATAAAAAGAGTGGCCAAAGACCGTACACAGTGTTTCTTTTTGACTTAATTTTTATGTTGTCTGCTTGTAATATACCATTTAATGTAATAGAGAAAGAACCCTTTCGTCGCTTTTGGAGAAAATATAATGCGAAGTGGAAATTGCCAACCTCAGCGACGTTGCAAAGGTATTTACTATCTTTACGTGGCAGAATTCAAAGTAACATCAAATCTCAAATACAAGTCAAAAAAAAACTGTGGTTACCAGTGGATGAGACTACAAACTGTAAAAAACATTCTGTTGTCAACATTCTAGTGTGTATATTAAATCTTCTGGGACCATCACCTCCATATTTAATAGCTAGTAAAAGATTACAAAAATGTAACGCCAAAGCTATTCGGAATCTGATTTTAAGCACTATAAACAAATATCAAATTTCCAGGGATCAGCTACTAATGGTTGTTAGGGAAGATGCCTCAACTATGCTTCTTGCATGTCATTCTTTTAAAAATGTTTGTACTAACATAATACATGTGTTCTGCATGCATTACATCTTGTAGCAGAAACAATTCGGCAGTTTTATCCGGATGTAGATGAATTAATGGTTGTTAGGGAAGATGCCTCAACTATGCTTCTTGCATGTCATTCTTTTAAAAATGTTTGTACTAACGTAATACATGTGTTCTGCATGCATTACATCTTGTAGCAGAAACAATTCGTCGGTGTTATCCGGATGTAGATGAATTAGTAGTACAGACCACGGCAGTGTTTCTCAAATCCCCCGAAACGTATTCGTCAATTCCATCAACACAACCATTCAAGAACCTCCACAACAGAATAGAACCCTGTCTTACAGGATGGGGGACATGGTTAGAGGCATCAATTTTATTATTTTAAACATTTTCAAAATATAAAATCAGTAATTTTACAGATTGATGCCAAAAAATCCGCTGTTATTTGGAAGAAGCAAATAAAATTTCAAAATAGTCGAGTTGAAGTACAGTTGGAACATATTCACAACAATTACATTCCAATTGTGGATGCTATAAAAAAACTTACAAAATACTGCATTATCATTAAATAAATCACTGCAAATAGTAGATGACATACAAACAGTGCTATATGCCTTAAGTGACAAGAAAAGTGTTTGCGTCAGAGACAAGTATGACAATGTGTTAAGAAAAAAATCCAGATTTCTCCAGATTAAGACACCTCCATAGCAATAGCCCTCCCCCATTAACTGCTTTTAGAGATTACTTCAGATATGCACCTAGGTATAGCCTCATTAGATTTCAAACAATTGTTTTAGTTATATAAGAATATTTTTTCTCCATTGCGGGCATCACTTAAGGAATCTACTGTGGAGACATATGTAATGTTCCAGATATTTGCCAGAGCTGATCCAGATTTTTAATACGGAACCACAATTTTATAAAATTGTTTATTATAAACACACTAGGTAATCCTTACTCATAAATATGTATACACAGAGACATAATAATTTGATAGTGTCGACTGACTAATTCCGACATACCAGACCCAACGACTTGGTCTGTAAGCGATTAGACTTTGGAATCCTCCCTTTTTGCTTTGTACATTTTCTAATATCTACCTACTTATTTACTATTTACGAAAACAATTATACAAAAAAACATTATTATGCAGAATCAAATGTTACCTGGACATAAGCATTTTAACTGGACTTTTTAAAATTGTAATGACAGTTCAGTAGAGTCAATGGTTGATTATAGGTAGATGGTGCTCTATAAGCTGTTTGTGCAGTGAATTATATTGTTAGAAAAAAGTTTTTAAGGAATTAGGTTAATTTTTCCATAAATGCCCTCTTAAATTCTTATACAAATATTTTTTTTATTTTCCAGCCAATATCTTATGCAACTAGTTTTTTTTACGTTTTTCTTGAATATTGAACATTTTTACTTCTTTTAAATTGAATTTTGAAACTTTTAATTCTAAGAACACAGGTAGGTTCTGTACAAATAATAAAACAATACAAAATTGGGATATTTATGGGTAAGTTAGTTAACTCTAGATAATAGGCCCATTCAGTGATATATAATTTTAAACTATTTCTTTCATTTTCTGATAGTATTTAACCACCTAAATAAGTATATCTTAAAAAAATTAGGTCAATAGGATTAATAATAAGTGATATATTTAATTCTGAATTTGTAAGACCCTTAAAAAGGTCAATACTGCGGGAGAACAGGTAATGACGTCGCAATACTGGCCACTCGGCGATCAAGTCGCGAGCAGTCGGAGAGATGTGTAGATATTTGCTATACTTTTACCCATATTATATACCTATATTTTTAAGCATATAAATAGAGAGTGTATAAGAGAAATACATAAAATCTTGTTGAAATGCATTTTTCACACAACATATTTATTATAAACATAGAATGACTTGGAATACCTAAATAGATTTTCGGATTTTATCAATGACATAAATGGTTCACTTTTCTACATTTTTTTTGCATTCCATTTTTGTACAAATGTACCCAACGTACTAGACTTGGTACTTGAGGATGTATGCGACGACGTGTATGTGCCAGTACTTTGACTAGTATTTGAAGCAACTCAGAACCATCCTCGTTTTTTTTTGGTTGCCCGTCTAGGGGGTTGTAAAATTCTATTATTATTTAAATAAATTGCTTATAGGTCCCTCTCGCCACGTATTTCGAATTTTTTGTGGACGGGAATGTTTTAGATGGGGTAGAAATTTTTTTTTCCGCATAAATTTGAAAATTCTGCTCTAAATGTTTAAATAATATTTATAACCCCCTAGACGGGCAACCAAAAAAAAAACGAGGGTGGTTCTGAGTTGCTTATAGGTTCCTCTCGCCGACGTATTTCGAAATTTTAGTGAACGGGCACGTTTAGATGGGGTAGAAATTTTTTTCGGCATAAATTTTAAATTTCTGCTCTAAACGTTCAAATAATAATATTTGCAACCCCCTAGACGGGCAACCAAAGAAAAACGAGAGTGGTTCTTAACTGCTTATAGGTCCCTCTCGCCGACGTATTTCAAATTTTTTGTGAACACGAACATTTAGATGGGGTAGAATTTGTTTTCCGGCATAAAGTTGAAAATTGTGCTCTAAATGTTCAAATAATAATATTTTACAACCCCCTAGACGTGCAACCAACGAAAAACTAAGGTGGTTTTGAGTTGCATACCGTGGCTGGGGACACCGTATGTATTAACACATAATGGGATGAAAGCGAGCGCGAGCGGAGTGCTCTGCCAATCGCCCGTACCGGTATTATGACGTCAGGCAATGGTTGCTGAACGTTTTTCCACGCTCTGTTTTCATTAATTTATTTCACACATTTCTCGTTGAAACAAAAAATTGATTTTTGGCACACTAACTAATTAAAGGGTCAACTTTTGGAATATGCAAAAAAAAATTCTACCGAATGGGCCTATTATAATATATTAGTTAATATACTATTAACTAATATATCACTTTTATCTTAAATTACAAAGCATGGCCAATTCCCCCTAAAACTGTTTTTTTGTTGAAAATTTTTTAGTTTTTTTTTATTAGAAGCAGTTTGTTCGATTCATGCACGCATAGCATTTTGTTGTATATTTTGCTTCATTGGAAATAATTAATAATTGTGTATAATTAGTTTTGTGAGTGAACCCTAGGTAGAAGTTGAGTGCATTCCCTTTTTCCCTTTTCCTTTTGCCCTCGACCTGAGGAAATATCAATTGCATCACATTTTGATGAGTTCATTTAGTTTTTTTTATACAGTCCACTTGAATAGGGCTACTTGGGCTCCACCAATTAGATTGATACTACTGTTGTCCATATATTTAGTGGATATTACATAATATTATTATTATTATTACAAGCTAGTCTAGGCAACTAAAATATATTTTTGTAATCTTTTAAGCATTACCTGAACTGTTATCCAAATATCCGATGTAATGTAGTGCAAATTATAAATCTCCTTGCTCTCTCTGTTTTGTAAAGTGACAGTAATGCTACTATTACCACTAAGCATAATATTCAGACTCATAACGGAATAAAGTACAAGATCCATTTTTAATTGTATACCATCTAAATAATTTTCACTTGTGTAAAATTTTAATACTCTGTTTCCTAGTGGACTATCAGATAGTCTTTCCAGGTTTGCAGTTTTAGGCACTATCCAGTTCGCAAATTCTTTGTCACTATCTTCAACCATTCTTCTTTGAGGTTCCGGTCCTGTTAAATTTTTACTATAATGCGACAAACCGAACTGGGCAATTTGAGTTGGGTAGTAATAACCCTGACTTTCCCACTGGGTTGAAATTGGCACTCCTTCAGTGGCACTAATACATTTCACTCTTTCTCTTACCTAAAAAGTAATTGTACTGTAAAACTTATTTTTATTAATTTTTTATGCAAACGTTTTTTTATAGCTGCAAATTCGCAATGTTTATTTTCACTAATAACAGGAAATATATTAAATTAGAGGTGTTAAGAGGCATCTGCAAAGTTAAAAAAAATCTTAATTTTTGATGAGACTTACCTCAACATTATAATTCTCGAAATACATAAAAACTCCTCTCGGATCATATTTTGCTTTTGGGTGGTATATTTTACTGTAACTATGTGACCATTCAAATCTTTCTAGACCATCATAAGTTGCCAATTTACCATAGACTTCAAAATATCTATGTAAAAATGAAAATGGTATGTATACTTCATCGCCCTCTTTCCTACATCCTATCACATCTTCGCCATTAATATCACACTCTATTTCTTCAGCTACTTGCAAACCAAAAGCCTTTTTGTTTAAGTTGTTGTAATTAAGTCTCTGCCATTCTTTATTTGTATCACCACAAAAAGAATATAGAATTATTATAGTTAATATCCCTATAGAGAGTAAAAACAGTAATGCTACTTTAACGTTTAACCTCATCATTATAAAAAATAATGGGGGACCCTGCAATACACATATTTCAGTTAAGATGTACAGAAATATGCTTACATTGCACCTACCTTATAAGTGTGGTATATTTTTTGGCCTTGTAAAGAGCCAGCCCTTTTTTGCAAAGTATTCATTAGTTTATCACATTTTCTTTTACCTTCTTTTTATAAGAAACCTTATTAAGATCTTTACATTATTGATTATATTTAGATATTTGTCGTGACATATATAAACATTCTATTTTGCAATACTTCAGTCTTCAGTCGGTCAACAATGTCAATACACCACAAATACAAACATCAAACATGACATATCTAACAAGTGAAGTGAACTGTCAAATTATCGAATTATCTAATAATTCTGAAAATAGCTGCGTTCACAGTTCTTTGTTCATGTCAGTGGTCCTTGTACAGATTAGAGCATGTACTATTGCTCTAAAATGTACGGGGTGATCAAGCCAAACTGAAATTTTGAAGGATTCGATTATTACTTTGTTATTTCTGAAGATATCGGAAAATACGATTTGTGAAATGAAACGTTGATGGTTTATCTTGTAATAGTTTATTAATTAATACCTTTTTCATTCCCTGCATTACCAATATATTTTTAGCCTGAATATCGCTGCGTATGTTTAAAGAGTTCTTTGATCTGTGTACTATGCACAATCAAAACTATCATATTCTATAAAATGCTAATATAACATATTTTATTAATTGTGCCATAAACAGGAAGTTTTACAGATTTATTTACTTATATTTTTCAATATAAATTAATTTCTTTTATCAACAACTAGGCATTACATACGAAAAATGTAGATATCCAAAATTTGTTTCATATTCTTCAAGAAATTTTAACAGAGTTGGGAGCTCGGAGCGAACGATGCATTACCACCGTAGAAAACAGTTTTTAAGGTAGTATCGCATGAAGGACGCTTTTAGCAGAGCAATCGCTGAAGACCGCTGTAGATCCCCAAAAAAATTACTAATGTTTCAAATTTTCTTAGAAAATCAGCTCAAAATTCACAGATATATTAGACTGTGTGACTGTGAATATTAGGTACCTAGCATTGTTCCTAGAGCAATCCAAAAACGTTTCCGACAGTCAAACACAATAGCATATTTGATTCGAAACAGTGGATTTAGAACCTTATATAAGCATTTTATCAGATTGCTTATGCCTGTGACTGTCGGAAATTGTTTTGGATTGCTCTAGGACAGCGCCGGATTTACGCTTGTGATGCCTATAGGCAGAAATTTGGTGGGGGCTTAGTTAAGGGATTGAAAAAAACATTATTTTTTATGCGTCTATTTCAAGATTTTCTCTCGAATTTGTTAAATAAATAATCTGTTTAGTTTTCAAAGGAATAATTTAAACATTGCAAAGAAAATAAAATATTATTTTCTCTAGGAATAAAAATTTACAAATTAACAAAGATTAGTGAATATTTTTCCCACTAATTCAATTATAAAGTGTAGTGCATAATAATGAATTTTAGTACTAAAATAATAATAATACTTTTGATTAATTAATTGATACTTAAAAAAAGTTTTTATATTTATATTTAAATTATAATTAATCTATATAAGTTGGTAAAATTTTGGTTACAAATTATTTAACACTTTATTATTACATAATTTACAATAATGCTTTTCGAGCTTTCTTGTCAGCAAAATCAGCAGAAAAATGTTTTCATATTGGTGGGGGCCTATAGGCAGTGCCTAGTCTGCCTATGCCTAAATTCGGCACTGCTCTAAGAACAAAAATATTGTGTACTTACTTATACAGGGTGTTTGTAAATAAGTGCGAAATATTTTAAGTGGGTGGTTGCCGAAGTTATTTTGTGAAAAAAGTTCATATAAACGTAGGTCGAAATATGCTTCGTTTCCGAGATACAGAGTGTTTAAATTTTAATTTTTGATTTATTTTTATTAATTATTTCAAGAGAGTTTTAAAGATATTGACTCGAAATTTGAAAATCGCTTTGGAGGGATAAATGTACATTTTTTGATGTGATCCGAATATTACTACTTGCACCAGTGGCGTCCGTGCAGGATTGCCATAACTTTTTTAATAAAAGAAAATGATACGCTACTGACTTTTTCCCGTTTGGATATTTTTATAGAAATCCGCCATCAATTCTGAATGAAATTGCTCTCTTCAATTTTTTTCGTAGGATGCACCGTTTTTGAGGAAAAAAATAAATCGTATTTTATTGCAAGTTGTATATTTTTAATTTCTACAGGGATGGCCAGAAGTACGGAATAAAATTCATATCTTTTGAATGAGTTATTCTTTTTTAAAACGCCGAAACACGTTAACTGATTTTGATTTTTTCCCATCTTTCGGTTATATAATAATTTTTTTTTTCAACCCCCTAACCCCCAGCTACCCCTACTTTTTTTTTCAAATGGAAACATAAGGCATGAGGGGGCTCGTTGAAAAGCTTATAGAAAACCGAATCCAGCCATACCAAATAAACAAGTTTTATTTTTTCAATAACAAGTTTTTTTTCATTTAGAAATTGAAACAACTAGATAATTTACAAAAATAAACTCAATGTCGCAAATGCTGAAAATGTCCTCCATTCACTATTTGGCATTCTCCAAGACGATAGTAAAAGCTGTCCACAGCATTCTGAATGACTTCAGCTGGTAAATTATGCATCTCCGCCCTAATCTTGTTCTTTAAATTCTCAATATTATCCGGTCTGTCCTGGTAGACTCTTTCTTTCAAATATCCCCAAAGAAAATAATCCAGGGGTGTTAAGTCGGGGGATCTTGGCGGCCATTCAACTGTACCCCGTCTACCAATCCAGCGATTTGGAAACATTTCATCTAAGTATCTTCGAACATCAATACCAAAATGTGGGGGAGCGCCATCTTGTTGGAACCAAATTCTTTCATTCGGTATATCTGGATCAATTTCATGAGGGAAAATCACAGCTAGAGCAGGTATCAGGTCAAATGTTAGGAAATCCAGGTAGCGTGCGGCAGTAAGATTTTCTTCAAAAAAGAATGGGCCCAAGATTCTGTTGTTGATGATACCTGCCCATACATTAACTTTTTGTGGATGCTGCGTATGCGATTCGCATGTCCAGTGTGGATTTTCCTGGGACCAAAAGCGATAGTTGTGCCTGTTAACCACTCCATTTAAATAAAACGTAGCTTCATCCGAAAAAAGTACGTCTCGTTGAAAACCATTATTGTCGTCACACCGTCTCATCATTTCCTCACAAAATTGTAATCGCCTATCATAATCGTCTTCCAAAAGCTCTTGGACAAGACATACCTTATAGGGGTGGTATTTCTCTTGTTTCAGAAACATTCGAATTGCAGTTCGAGAAGCATCGTGATTGCGGGCCAATGAAACAGTTGAAGTATGAGGATTTTCAACAAGTTCTAATGCAATGTCTAATTTCTTTTCTTCATTCAAAGCACGTGCCCGTCCAGTTTTGGGCAAAGTCTGTACTGTACCGTGTTCCTCAAATTTGTGAAATATTTTACTAACTGTCCCTTGCGAGATTTGGTTTTCGGGATATTTCGCATTAAATAAATCGCGCACTTCAGCCTGACTTCTTATTTTGTCTCCACATCCAAGCAATATCAAGATTTCGATGCGTTGCCTTTCCGACAATACCATTGCAATTCAGTAAATAACTTGATTTTGACACAATAGTAACGTTTCGAACTCCAATTTACAACTAAAGCGAAAAATTAACCAGAAAGCCTGGCAAGTAAGTGGTGCCAAAAAAACGCAACATAAAAAATATATCTTTTTTGCGTTAGCAGTGATAGGTACAGTTTCAAATTCTTTATTTTATTCTGTGCAAATTCATGGAGGATAACACTGAAGATAATTAAATTTTATTTCACTTGTTAAGTAGGTGTTTTATACAACCCTAAAAACCTTGCTATTGAAAAAATAAAACTTGTTTATTTGGTATGGCTGGATTCGGTTTTCTATAAGCTTTTCAACGAGCCCCCTCATGCCTTATGTTTCCATTTGAAAAAAAAGTAGGGGTAGCTGGGGGTTAGGGGGTTGAAGAAAAATTAATTATTATATAACCGAAAGATGGGAAAAAATCAAAATCAGTTAACGTGTTTCGGCGTTTTAAAAAAATTAACTCATTCAAAAGATATTAATTTTATTCCGTACTTCTGGCCATCTCTGTATATTGATACATTATCTAGTAGGTTGCTGTCAATATTTCTAAATAAAATACAACCATCAATTTTTGAGTCAATATCTTTAAAACTCTTTGAAATAATTAATAAAAAAAATTAAAAATTAAAATTTAAACACTGTATCTCGGAAACGAAGCATATTTCGACCTACGTTTATATGAACTTATTATGACAAAATAACTTCGGCAACCACCCCTAAAATATTTCGCACTTATTTGCAAACACCCTGTATATATTTGTAAATATCCATATCGTATAATGTTTACTCATAAGCTAATCACCCAGTAAGACCTACCATAATCTTAACCCCCGTCAAATATCTATCGTAATTAAAAATTAAGTATATAAGAGTTCTAATAAAATAACAAATGATTTTTTTGAATTTTATTTGCCGTCTGTAAACCTCTAAACAAATAAAATGATCTTTCCTGCCGCCTTGTATATAATAGTCGTTTTCTTTTGCTCACAGCTTTGAATCATGATCACTGAATCCGGATCAGACAAACACGAACTAGATCCATGAATCCAATTTCGAAGAGAACGGGATTTTATTTACTGTCGACATTCGATTTGATTTTCATATCGTTTTGGTATACCCTATTCTTCTGTGTACAATTAAAATAAAAATAGTAACTCCCTTCGAGGAAAAAAGAATTTTAAGGTTATATTAAATATGTGATCGTGATCAAAAGTTCGTATCACAAAAAAAATTTGATTCATAGGGGAAAGGGGATTACCGATCCTCTCATATAAAATCTGATATGTTCCAGAAACAAGAAAACAACTACGAACATAATTTTGGGATCATAACGCGTTTAGATCCGAAAGCGGCAACCGAAAGAAAGCAACTATTAGCCGTTTTCTTTCGCTCTCAGCTTTGAATCATGATTACTGAATCAGGATCAGACAAACACGAACTAGATCCATGAATCCAATTTCGAAGAGAACAGGATTTTGTTTACTGTTGACATTTGATTTGATTTTAAATATCGTTTAGGTATACCTATTTTTCTGTACATAATTAAAATAAAAATAGTAACTGCCTTCTTACAGAAAAAAGAAACCACTACAATTTTAAGGTTATATTAAATATGTGATCGTGATCAAAAGTTCGAATCAC